CTTGGAGGGAAGGATTGTCTTTTTATACATTGGCTTCCAGTGTGGATGCTCTTAATTGTAAAACAAGCATTTCTCAGAAGGCAAACCACTGAGACTAAAAAGTGGTTTTTAGTCAAAATCTGAACACCAAAACTACTCTTTTGAACCTATTGTTTTCATCTGCAATATCTATCATATTTCTTCTATTGTACGACACCCCCTAATTTCACTACCACCACCATCAACTAAAATACGTAAGAGACACCTGCAATTCTAAGATATATCCCATTTTTTACATATTTATATAGGGGGGAAAGTGCATTTTAGATATAAGGAAATACAATACACCGAGGGGGAGGGGGGCTGAGTACCAGTCTGAGGTAGGTTTCAACCCCTAATGTCCAATATGCATTTTTGACACTCTGAAATAAACACCCATAACAAAATATTCATTTCACAGAAGATAAACTGGATGCACACACATACACATGGTGAGGCACCACAATTAATGGATACATGCAGACTTGTGCAACAAAAAAAGCAGGCATACAAATATGCACAGCAGAATAAGGAAAACCAGCACAGCTCTCTAGCTTCTCTAACCTCCTCCTCCCAGCCCCCCCCCCCCAAAGTTTCCTACCAACCAGGTTGCCTTTTTCTTTTTTCAGTGCAGCTAGATATAATTTCAAATGTGCTGGGTATCGTTGCCCATCATATTTACTTTTTAAGAATACCTCTAGGGCCTTCTATTTCATTCCTGTCCTTATAAATGTCATGTTATTACAATTTTTCAGTTGACAATATGAAAAATGGTACAAAATACTTTTGGTCAGAGAATGCAATGTATTAACTCTTTCCCCAACAGGGCAGATTGACTTGGGATATGCTATACAGGTTTCACTAGATAATACATCAACATCCCAATTATTTACCCACTGATAATGATAAGTGGAAATTAGAAATTTGAGAAAATGTATTTGTAACTAGTATACAAAAATGTTAGTAGTAATTATATATTCTTAAACTTTTCATCATTCTTGAACAAATTGTGAAAGATGATACCATTCCAACAAAAACAGAATAAAGAAGGAGAACTAAGAAAAGAAACTATTCTGACATAATAAATGCTCACTATTTCACTCCCATTTTTCTTACCTGTCCTTTTCGTTCTCCAACAAATATTGGTCAACTTCCTACAGCAATGTAGAAACCCAGAAAAGAGAAGGAAACACACAGCATAATAGAGGAAAGGTTACAGATATGGACAGTGAAGTATATAACAGTTTTAGAAGAGATAAGGCTATATAGTATTTCAGGAGAACTGAACTGTGAGTAGCCCCATTTGCCCTGCCTCATTCAATAAATTTTAAAGAGACTTCAGATACCCTGTGTTTATAACACCCTCTTGATTTGACCACCAATGCTTCTATATTTATCTTACCATAGAAAATCTGTTAAGGAGAAAAGAAATAGCTGCATAGTGCCTTTTATTTACTACAGCGTGAGAAGCCTCTGTTAGAAAGGCTCTACACAAATGTCAGAGGCTAGAAATTTTAGGGGAAAAAATCTGTTCAAACATACACTTGAAATTAGAAAGGGAGTTAAGTAGCATACTGATAGATTTCTCAATTTTTCAAACTACTAATACTTACGCAGCCAAAATAAAATTACTCAAGTGCAAGAGAGAGAGGAGAGGAGATGTTTGAGACTTCAGAAAACCTCAAAATTAATAAAACACCAAAAATGCTTTTGCACTTTCGCAAGAGGAGAATAAAACCCTGTGATGAGTGGGCATGTTCAGCGGTCAAAGAAAGTTGGCTGACTATTCTGAAAGCAAATCGAGGAACTGGTTGGGAGATCGAGGAACTGGTTGGGATGCCTTTAATCTTAAAGACAGCAGTCCACATGCTACATTTTGTTGAAGAACAAGGAAACCATTGCATTTAAATGACAAAAACATAAAGAAATCTCAATATGGAAATGTCTGTTTGTGAAGAAAATTAATCCATGAAGAGTTGGGATTCCTTGTTTTTCCAGTGTGGCTTTAAGGATGGAGTTAACCATTTTCATTGGTTAGGTCTTATCTTTTATTTTCAACATCGTCTTTCTACAATGCTGCCTAAAAGGATCGGAAATATCCTACAGTAATTGCAGAAACATGAAATTGTTGCCTATCTACTTAATACTGTCTGTCTCCTCAAGTGCTATAGGCAACTACAGCTTTGCATGATAGGAGAGAACCTGTGCCTATGTAGATGTTGCAGACCATTGGCCATACTGGCTAGTAATGATCACAGGTGGAGTCCGAAAATATTTGGAGGTCCACAGGTTTTTCATCCCTGGCTTAGCAGGGGCCCCATATAAGAGAAAAACTGGGTATGAAGTCAGTAAATAAATAAAAGTACATTGGATATGAGCAGGAAGCAGCAATGTGAGACTTATGATTCTCTGCTCATTTCTCCTATCTAACAGGATGAAGATTTCTGAAACCTTAGTTTAGTGTGATGTGTGAGCATGCTTTATTTTTTACACAGTTCTATCATGGCAAATGGTCTAATATGTAGCTGGATCTAAAACAATTTTTAAATCAGCATTCTTCTTGCAGAGAGGAGAGATAACATAACATAGCAAAAGATTTCTGGTTTGAAGAGGAGACAGACAGATAAACATTGCTGTTTATAATACTTTGCAAAATCCAACTTTATCTACACCATATTATTGGCACAAATATGTTAACAGATGAATTGTAACATTTCTATGTGCACATACATTCAACAAAACAAGAATTCTTTATAATTTCCAACAAAACATCTAAATAATGACAGCTATAAAATATAAGACTGTTTTGTTACAACAATTTGTTCTATCAGTTAGGCATGTTGCCTGATACTACAATTACTTCAGAAAGTGGCTAGCTTTCTCCTAAAATAAAAGACAGCATTTTCAAGAATACTCTACAGTTAAAGAATTCCTACTAGATCCATTTCGGAATACTGCCTGTAAACTTTAATAGGTGTCAGAGTTTGACACAGAGGCCTGAAGATAGCATAATGTTCCCAGCAAACCATACAAAGTGTTCTTGCAATACATCAAGGGAACCACTGACCGCATAGGGGAGCTGATGAGGAAACACAACATACAAACTATCTACAGACCCACCAAGAAAATCCAACAGATGCTACATTCAGCAAAGGACAAGAGGGATCCTCTCACTTCTGCAGGAGTCTACCGTGTACCATGCAGCTGTGGACAAGTCTACATAGGGACCACCAAACGCAGCATTGCCCAAACACGAATCAAGGAACATGAAAGGCACTGCAGACTACTTCAACCAGAGAAATCAGCCATAGCAGAGCACCTGATGAACCAACCTGGACACAGCATTTTATTTGAGAACACAGAAATGCTGGACCACTCTCACAACCACCATGTCAGACTACACAGAGAAGCCAGTGAAATACACAAGCATGTGGACAATTTCAACAGAAAGGAGGAAACCATGAAAATGAACAAAATCTGGCTACCAGTATTAAAAAAACTCTAAAATTACAACAGCACAACAACAGAGAGGAAACAAACAAGGACATCTAATCACCTCTCAACAAAAGTTTGCTCTAGGCACTGTCAGGCCATTATATGCTAATCAAGGTGATCAGTTGAAACATTCACACCTAGCTCCAGCAGACAAGAGTCCTTTGTCTCACCCTGGTCATTCCACAGATATATAAACCCTTTTTCCTAGTTCCAAAACACCCCACAACCTTTGAGGATGCTTGCCATAGATGCAGGTGAAACGTCAGGAGAGAATGCCTCTAGACCATGGCCATATAGCCCGAAAAAACCTACAACAACCCAAACCATAGTTAGTTTATATGGAGTCAAATTTCAGAAACTCAATTTCCCTTATCCTTCCAGCTACTTTGAGAAACAAAGTGCTGGCTCAAATGGGGTTTTGGTGTGATCTAGCAGGACTGTTTTTATGATCTTATGTCATCCTCCCTAGAAAAATTATTCTGCACAGCATTAACCATGACATGGTTTAAGCAGCTCTCTTTATACTGAAACAAATCAGGAGAGGGGCAGGGCCATGTGGGCCAGCTCCACCGTATCACTCATAATAGAAATATATGCCTATCAGCCACATAATTGGTCAGCACATGAATAATCACTCCACATTCACTGAAGAATGTTTAATGCTCCTCCATTTTCAAAAGCCAGCTTGGGCCAGAATCCTCCCTCTTTGCACTTACATGGGGAGCCTTCTAATACCATTCAAAGGCAAGAACAGCTAAAACCTGTTTGAACTGTAGTGAAGGCAGCAACATAGCTAACCTATAATATCTCATTCCAGAACACGGTAATATATAAAAGCTTCATGTGAACCAACAGCTCCCCACGTATTCACACCACAAATATATCAACACAAAGCACAGCTTCTGTAAACCAAATCCCTTTGTAACCATGTACAGCCAAAGTGTCTGAAAGAAACAATTTATTTATTTTATTTATTTAAAAATTTACTTTCTGTCCTACTCACCCCGAAGGGGACTCAGGACGGAGCACAGCATATATACGGCAAACATTCAATGCCGGGATACAAATTCATATACACATACATAAACATTAAAAACATTTATCTTAATGTTAAAATACACCATTTAAAACCGTCTTAGTCAGCAGCGCCAAATCTAATTGGCCTGGTAATCTTTCGTATTGCTGCTTTATTGCCCTGTCCCGAAAGTCATTATGCTTTAACAGGTGTGCGTGTAATATAGAACTGTGGTTAAAACAAGAAAAAGGAAAATACCAAAGGAAAAAGCAGGAGAAAACAGGTTTATGTTGCAAACCAGTTGGCTGGGAGCAACTATTATATCTCATCCATATCAGCAGAAATAGTTTAACTTGGTTTATTTTGACTTCATTAAGGTTCAAAAATTGTTATCGGATATTATAATCACATATAAAAAGCTGAAGCATGCTTATAAGGGAGAAAAATCTCAAATTATGCGTAACATACTCACCTCATATTCTTTTCTGCAATTTTTCAAAATACCATTTTTTGAAGATGCCTGCAATTATATTCATTTCATTACCAACATATATCCTAGACTACTGAAAAAACAAAACCATTTAATAAGAAACTATACAGAAAATTTACACTGTGGGAATTTAGAAAAGTCACTAACATTACCAGTCTTGTACACCAATATACTTGAACAACTTGGGTGTTTGAAATATGGGAAAAAATCATAGCTTTAAACATTCTTAAAATTTTTGTTTATATTAATTAAATTAAAATATTTCTACTACATTTGAACAATTTATCCTTTCAATAAAATATTTAAAAATCACATTATGTTGAAAACATAATATACAATTTAGATAAAACTATAGAAGTAAATGACAAAAGTGCATGGTAGCCTTTGAGCTCATAATTGGCCAGTAGTTGATGCTGTGTAACATAGGTTAACCGAGACTTAGGATGATTCTACACTGAGAAATAAAGCAGCCTGGAATTGGCATCCCAAAAGCAATTTACAGTCCACTTTGTAATCTGACAAGACCGCCCTGAATCACCTTGACAGTAGAAAGGCATCCCCATTGCCCAACTGCCACTAGAACCCACAGTGCTATTCAAAAGAGTACTTCTGAGAAGCATGCTGAGCAGCATTGTTAATACAACACATCTCTTTGTTGTTCTTTCTTTTCTTGTGGCATTGCTTCGCAGTACACCACAGTCAGCCCTCCACATTCGCTGGGCTTATTAGCACAGGATTAGTGTGAAACTGAAAAGCCACACATTAAAAAACTGCTACTTTTTTATTTGTGAGAACACCCCTTTCATAATTTCTACATCCTCCAGCACAACTCCAAGGTCAATTTCTGCTGCAAGATAACCATAGGATCACACTGGAGGACTGAAGAGATTCAGGGAGATAACGTTTTAATTAAATCTGTGATTAATCAAATCTGCAAAAAAAAAAAAAAAAAACCCAACCTGTTAATGTGGAGGGCTGACTGTAAATATAAAGTTAAAGATGAGTACCAGACTAAAACCTCAATACATTATGAAATTGAAAAAAATCTGGTTTTTATGTTCTCTCCATTAGAGAACATAAATAAGCATATGAGTGGTGCGCATGTGTTACAGAAAGTGTATGCTAGCTATAGAGGTAAAAAGAACATACCTGTTTACATGCTTGTCGACATTCAACAACAATGGCTAGCTCACAGCAACCTAAGCCAACCCAGCCATCAGATTTCTTCAAAACACCTTGGAAAAAAGTTACAAAATATGTATAACATTGTATATGTGAACTATAACTATTACCCTCTAGCTACGACATAACATAGAAGTGATCATGCCTCTACCAGGGAATTTCATTTGTACATCAAATAATATTTTCAGAAGTCAGATGTTTTTGGTCTACACATGAATACATATACGGTAGCTCAGAAGCCAAAATAATCTTTTTCAAAGCCTTAATGAGAATTTCAGAAAACTCCAAATTCTTTTCAGCATATATCTTATATCTGTAAGATTTTTTTACAGCTGTGCTGGATAAGACACTGAAGGATTTCATTATATATTTTGTGAATTATTCTGTCCTTTTTTATTAGTTCTATAAGAAGCTGCATAGCTATGGTTATCTAAATGTTCAGTCATGCTAGTTGGCAAGGGATAACACTACTTGAATAAAATCCAAACTCCACAAAATAGGTGCTAGTAGAGTTTAAATTTTATTACCTGACTTTTTTTGCCCTTTTATCCCTGGTCCTCACATGGCCAAGAAGGGAAGTGGCCTCAGTCTGCTCTGAGATCCCTTCAGGTCATCTTAGCTGACAATAGAAGGAACACCAGAGACAAAATGTTACTCTAACATTGTCACATTTTTTCTCCTGTTTGATTTTTAACATTTCACTTCATGAAAAAGTCAGTGAAGCTTCAAAAACTTGCATGAAATACTTTGACAAAAAAAATTCACTATTCTGTGTATTTTATTGTATTTTGCTGAATGGCCAACATGACTACCCCAAATAATGTACCCTTTGAATAATTTATTTATTATTTATTTAGAAGTTTTCTATACCGGCCTTCTCACCTCAGCGTGGGACTCAGGTCGGCTTACAGCATGTATGAAAGTACAATAATATATAAGTACAACAAAGTGCAACGTCATTACATATTAAAATAGTACAATAAAGTACAATAAAAACATCACCATCACAATTACCTAAGCCAAGTCGTCAATCCAGTCATAGTCATAGTCATAATCATAGTCACAGTTCATCATCCTCCTTCCTTGTGGAAGGAGGTTATAGATTCAGTCCTCGAATGCCACATTCCAGAGCCAGGTCTTTAGTAGTTTCCTGAACGTCAGGAGGGAGGGAGCAGATCTAATCTCTAGTGGGAGGGAGTTCCAAAGCCGGGGAGCCACCACCGAGAAGGCCCTGTCCCTCGTCCCCACCAACCGTGATTGCGAGGGTGGTGGGACCAAGAGCAGCCCCCCCCCCCCGGAAGATCTTAATAGCCTTGATGGTTCATAGGGGAGAATCCGTTCGGACAGGTAAACTGGGCTGGAGTCGTTTAGGGCTTTATAGGTCAACCAGCACTTTGAATTGTGCTCGGAAGCTAATCGGCAGCCAGTGGAGCTGGCGTAACAGAGGGGTCATATGGTCTCTGTACCCTGCTCCTGTTAGCAATCTGGCTGCCACACGTTGGACTGATTGAAGCTTCCGGGCAGTCTTCAGAGGCAACCCCAAATAAGTTCAATCATTTCATTCATTTATTCATTGATTCATTCATTATTGTAACAAGCAATGGCAATAGTGCCTTTTAAACGAGTTAGGAAAAAACCAAAATGTTTAATTCATCCTATCCATGTCTACGTACATATGCCTCATTATGAAGTAGTCCTAAGTAATCATAAATATGGAAATACCTCTTACCTGGCAAAGAAGAATTTATACAGCCCCAAACTTCACCCTAAAAAAGTAATTATGTGTTTATTTAGATATAAGATAAGACAAGCATTTTTAAAATATTTGAACAAAATAAATATGTTTATGCGGAAGTTTAGCACAGATAACCAGCCATTAGTAGACTTTTAGTAATACTGGCATTTAGTTCTGGATGCTGTGTTGATTTAGGGTAGTTTTTTAATACAATAGTTTAAGATTTTTCCCATACAACTCTACTAAAGATAGTAAGATAATCAGGAAATACTTTTCTCTCTATCCTGCTAATCATATAAAGGGTACCAGGCAGTTATTAGGAAGAAGATCATTACAATGACTGTTTTGGGTAGTGGGAAGGTTTAGAACTCTTCCTCAGAGGAGACACATTTAATACTCTCTCTGATGACATGAAGCCTAAAAGCGCTTTATGATGCTATTTACTGTCTCTCATATATATATATATATATATAGAGAGAGAGAGAGAGAGAGAGAGAGAGCTGTTTAAGGTGACTTCAATATGTAGGAAACACCCCATATTGATGAAAACAAAACTTAATCTTGTACTCTCATCAAAAGCATTATAGCAATGCTCTCTCACTCTCATTATATATTTTTGAACTCAACTGAAATGTTTGCAAGAATACAGTTGACTATCACACATGCAGAACAAACAATTATTTTAGAAAATGTCAGAATCATAAAGATTCTACCAGTTTGCTTTCTCACAGGTCACGATTCTCTATAATTATTATGCATGCCCAAAGAATAAAACATTTCAATTAAAACAAAAAATATTTTATTTTTGAAATATTTATGCTGCTCAAGTCTTTTATTGTTGCTGCTGCTTTAGTCTTGTGTTTTACCAAAATCAGATATACCTACCATTGATTCTGGACAATATTCAGGTGCACGTTGTAGAAGGTGTTTCAAATGAGAGTCACTTTTGGATGTCAAAATCTATTAAAAAAAGAAATATTACAAACAATTAAAATACAAGTAAAGAGCCAAGTTGTGGGGTTTTTGCACTTTTATTCTGGAAAATAAAAGAATAATTGTGTGCAGAAATCTTGACAAATTACAAAGAATAATAAATAGTATTATTAATAAGAGTCAATGAAGCTAAGTTGGTGAAATAAAGCAGAAAATGACATGGGTAGACAAAACCACAGGTGCAAAAAGAAACACCAATGGTCAGTAGAATCAGAAAGCATAATAAGTGAAATGAAGAGGAAATAAGGAATTTTCAGATCATGATTACAAACCAAAGTTCTGATACAAACACCACCACAAAATACTACTTTTAGCTCCAGCCTCCAGATGCAAACTAAAGCAAGTTACACCAAGATGATTGTTACAAATTAAACTGAAAAATAGAAGGAGTTGAAACTCCTAAGCTACCCTGGTAACCCTCCATTATTACTACCATGAGCCCAGATTACAATTTTTTTTAAAAGAGAGGAAAGGGAAAAAAACTGAAATGTGATGAGGAAAGAGTGTAGAATAAGCATATTGGGAATGCCAGAAAAATCACAGACACAGTTCAAGCCCAGACCTTCAGTTTTTCTAAAAAAAAATTTAAAATAGTGCACATTCACACACACATTCACTCACAAACAATCACAAAACAGTATACATTCTACTTCACTTCAATCTTTCTTGAAGGAACAACTGAACACTTACAGGAAGGATTAAAGCAACTGTAAAAACACAAGTAAGGACTTCAGTAAAGCCTTCGACAAGGTCCCTCATAACCTTCTGGCAAGGAAACTAGTCCAATGTGGGCTAGGCAAAACTACGGTGAGGTGGATCTGTAATCGGTTAAGCGGACGAACCCAGAGGGTGCTCACCAATGCTACCTCTTCATCCTGGAAAGAAGTGATGAGCGGAGTGCCGCAAGGTTCTGTCCTGGGCCCGGTCCTGTTCAACATATTTATTAATTACTTAGATGAAGGGTTAGAAGGCATGATCATCAAGTTTGCAGACGACAACAAATTGGAAGGGATAGCCAATACTCCAGGAGGACAGGAGCAGGATTCAAAATGATCTTGACAGATTAGAGAGATGATTGGCCAAAACTAACAAAATGAAGTTCAACAGTGACAAATGCAAGATACTCCACTTAGGCAGAAGAAACAAAATGCTAAGATACAGAATGGGGGACAATGCCTGGCTCGAGAGCAGTACGTGTGAAAAAGATCTTGGAGTCCTTGTCGACAGCAAGTTAAACATGAGCCAACAATGTCATGTTGCGGCAAAAAAGCCAATGGGAATTTGGCCTGCATCAACAGGAGCATCGTGTCTAGATCTAGGGAAGTAATGCTACCCCTCTATTCTGCCTTGGTTAGACCATACCTAGAATATTGTGTCCACTTCTGGGCACCACAAATGAAGAGAGATATTGACAAGCTGGAATGTGTCCAGAGGAGGGCGACTAAAATGATCAAGGGTCTGGAAACAAGCCCTATGAAGAGCGGCTTAAAGAGCTGGGCATGTTTAGCCTGAAGAAGAAAAGGCTGAGAGGAGAAATGATAGCCATGTATAAATATATGAGAGGAAGTCACAGGGAGGAGGGAGCAAGCTTGTTCTCTGCTTCCCTGAAGACTAGGACGCGGAACAAGGGCTTCAAACTACAAGAAAGGAGATTCAACATGAGGAAGAACTTCTTGACTGTGAGATGAGGGAGAAGGGAGCAAGCTTGTTTTCTGCTGCCCTGGAAACTAGGACACAGAACAATGGCTTCAAACTACAAGAAAGGAGCTTCCATCTGAACATTAGGAAGAACTTCCTGACTGTGAGAGCTGTTCAGGAGTGGAACTCTCTGCCCTGGAGTGTGGTGGCGCCTCCTTCTTTGGAGGCTTTAAACAGAGGCTGGATGGCCATTTGTCAGGGGTGCTTTGAATGCGATATTCCTGCTTCTTGGCAGGGGGTTGGACTGGATGGCCCATGAGGTCTCTTCCAACTCTATGATTCTAAGTACTTTGTTTGGTTATGGATGTCCTGCACGAAAACAGTTTGGTCCTCATTGGCTGTTTTGGAAATCTGGCAGAACAGTTCTTATGGATGCTATGTCTCTTTCCTTAGAATCTAAGGAAGGGATGGTGAAAGCACAGGCCATGGAACGCTTTTGCAATATTTTATATTTTATAAAAATATATGTTTGCCTTCTAAACAAGGGGTCACAGAGATAATTATTCAAATGTTTGGCTCTTGGTTCATCTTGGGCCCAGGAAAGGCCTTTTTTCCCCAAGTAGTGTCTCAGAAACTGACTTCCAGATCATTCCTGGTAGGGGAGGGGGAAGGCTCTTTCCTAACCCTAAAGCCACAGAAAGCCATAGAAAGAAGGAAGGGAAGAGAGACATCAAAGAAGTATAAGGGAGCATGAACAAAATGAATCCAAGCCACTGCAAGTATTAATGGAGAGCAGGATAACAGCAGACTAGCAGTAATGCACAGTAAGCCATGGCCTCCCTGAGGGAAGAAGAGAAATGGGCATAATTCCCATCAAGAAACTATCCTTGATACCAACATTTTTGGAAACCACTAGAAAATTGTCTCTCACATTCTCATTCCTACATAAGTTGTAGATTTCAGAAACTGAAGTGCTTAAAATGTCTAGATGGGAGCTGTCTTGATAATTATGGTTCGAAATCCAAAGAAAAACAACACAAGAAGTGCCACTTCTTTGAGACACAGCAACATGGTCAGCTCTCTTTTATTGTCAACAGATTTACAGCAGAAGAATAACAAGCAACAGATGTAATCCAAAGAACTTCCTGGCAGTAAGCATTTTGACAGAGGAACAGATTGCACCAGAAAATGGTGGATTCTCCTTCCTCAGAGGATTTTAAAGAGTCAGCCATCTGTCAGGAATGTGTGAGCAATTGATTTCTGGGACTTTGATCTTAAACAGCAGAATCTCCTGTGTTATCTAAAAGTGCCTTGAATTGCCATGAGTTGCAAGAATAGCCAGGGATGTGACTTCTGAATCAGACAAACACTTCTCCCCCTCCCGCAAACCTAAACTGGTTTAAAAGGGGGAAAACATTCCTTTTCAACAGAAAAAAGGAACGGAAAAAGTACACAAGATTTGGGGAAAGATACTTTGACAATTGAGGTAGAATAATCTATAGAAACTTCTGGAGATAGCTACTCCACTTTTTACAATTTATAATTTCAACATAACAGAACTAAAAAAGGATCTTTGCTATTTTATGCTCACAGCATCCAGGCTCATCTGAAGAAAAATCTTCTGTTAATAATGACATACAGATGGAATTCAAAGATCAAGGAAAGGAAAGGAAATAACTAAAATACGAAGCATTGTTTACAGTCACTGTAACCTTGCAGACCAAATTCATTCAGGGGAAGGCATTTTCTTCGCACTGAAAGTACTTTTAAAATATTTATTTAATTTGTATGTTCAATACGTAGGTCATATATATATATTTCAGTATATTTTTCTCACAAGGCTATAAATGTCATGAGCATGCAAGTGACATTTTAAACGTGTCAGAACCACTCACCTGTTCGCAAACATCTCGACACATTAAGTTACCCTTTGCAAGGTAACAACAAGATGCATCTGTAAAGAAATAAGTATCTGTTAAAATTAATAAAATACCTGTGATCTCTAAAGGACATGATTAAGAATAATTATTCCCAAGTATATGCCATTGTAGTTGAAATAATTAATTCCAAACCTTTAATCATTGTTTTGGAAATCCTAAATTCAGGTATTCTGAGCAATTAAGTCAGTCAAATATATACACATTAAGACCAAAATGATTTGTAAGCACATTAATTATTACCAATACAGCTAACAACTACATTGATAAAGACCTTGGAATCTGTTTTTAAAATAATACTGCCATATCAAAAATTGTATACTATAAACAGTTGTAAACAATAAACAAACCCCTTCTATACTCCCATATAATCCAAATTATCAAAGAAGAGAATACCATTATCTGCGTTGAACTGGATTACATGAGTCCACACTGCCAACTAATCTAGTTCAAACCAGAGAGTCTGGATTTTATATGGCAGTGTAGAAGGGGCCCTAAACTGCCATATAAAATCCAGATTATCTGCTTTGAACTGAATGAATGAATTTTATTGTGACAGTCACAGACCAGGAGTACGAAGCATGAAACATTAAAATCTGAGGTTTTTTGAAAAAAGAAATATATTAACATTAAGATCAGTTATTCAAAATATCAAAAGAAGAAAGTCCCTAACATTAAAATTAAGATCAGTGATTCAAAACATTAAAAGTCTGGCAGTATAGACTCATATAATCAAATTCAAACCAAATAATGTGATTATCTGCTTTGATAATCCTGATGATACGACAATGTAGAAGTTGCCTAAGAAATACTAAGGCTCACCATAAGGCACATACACACACAATGATTTGCTTCTTCTCACAGGTAAACTACAATATTTATTATTATTTACAGTATTTATATACCGCCTTTCACACCCCTGAGTTTTATATCTTTCTTTCAAAATCTAATAAATCAGCATTAAAAATTAAGTAATTGCCTGTAAACTTGCATTTTGTGTCAACCCTAGTGGTCTAATCACTACTTCTTAAACTGTGGGTCCTGATCCCTAATGGGGTCGCTTTTGCTCAATGTGATGGTCACAAAAATGTGGTAACAATAAAAGCTTTCTAAATGCCACCAAGAGATTTACACAAATCTGTTAGCAACAACTTGCAGTGCTTACAGTGGATTGACTTTGCAGATGTCCTCACTGCAGGAGAACATGCGGGGCAAGAATAGGGCTCCAGAGCCACCTACGTACCCACCGCCAGGACACCGCACTTGGAGGACAATCTTACTCTGAGAACAAGGGATCACCTAACCTTACTTCACAGAAATCGCTTCAGTTGTACTCCAACAAAAGGAATACCAGCGTGTTTAGCAAGCTTTGCAAATGCTGATTTCTTATAAATAAGTGTTTGGTTTTAATGCCTATTTTAAATACCTGGGGCAACCTAAACATTCTCAGGTAGAAAGGGGTTGTGAGTGGGAAAAGTTTAAGAAGCCCTGATCTAATCAGAATTCCTGCAGTTGTCCATGACATAATGGGCAGATGACACCTGAAAAGTAAGACCCCATCTACTCTAACCATTGAATGACGTTTGAAGCTAGCGTCAAACTGTGGCGGCCCAACAACAAAATTCCAACGAAAAAGTCCTTGATGTGCTTCAGTGCTTTGAAGTTTGTGTAATCATCATCTGGGTCTCAAATTGGGTCCAGGACTGCCCATGGAATTGTCTGCACTTTGTTGTTCATTCATTCAGTCGCTTCCAATTCTTCGTGACCTCATGGACCAGCCCACACCAGAGCTCCCTGTTGGCCATTACCACCCCAAGCTCCTTCAGAGTCAGGCCAGTCACTTCAAGGAAGCCATTGCTGTTGAAGAAACCATCACTGGATCCCACTCAATTCGACAACTATCGGCCTGTTTCCAATCTCCCCTATTTGGGCAAGGTCATGGAACGTGTGGTGGCAACACAACTCCAGGGGTTTCTGGTAGACACTGATTATCTAGACCCGGCACAGTCTGGCTTTAGGCCGGGACATGGAACTGAGACAGCCTTGGTCGCCTTGGTAGATGATCTACGCAGGGAGCTAGACAGGGGGAGTGTGTCCCTGTTAGTTCTGCTGGACCTCTCAGCGGCCTTCGATACCGTCGATCACGGTATCCTTCTGGGCCGCCTCATGGATATGGGGCTCGGAGGCACTGCTTTGCGGTGGCTTCGATCCTTCCTTGAGGGACGGACCCAGAAGGTGTTATTGGGTGACACCTGTTCGGCCCCACAACCGTTGTTGTGTGGAGTCCCACAGGGTTCAATCTTGTCCCCGATGTTATTTAACATCTACATGAAGCCGCTGGGAGAGATCATTCGGAGTTTCGGACTAAGATGCTATCTCTATGCAGATGACGTCCAAATCTGTCACTCCTTCTCACCTGTCACCAAGGAGGCTGTCCAGACCTTGAACCGGTGTTTAGGCTGTATCGGACTGGATGAGAGCTAACAAATTGAAATTGAATCCAGACAAGACAGAGGTCCTACTGGTCAATCGGAAGGCCGAACAGGGTATAGGGTTACAGCCTGTGTTAGACGGGGTTACACTCCCCCTGAAGACGCAGGTTCGCAGCTTGGGAGTGATCCTGGACTCATCGCTGAGCCTGGAACCCCAGGTCTCAGCGGTGGCCGGGAGAGCTTTCGCACAATTAAAACTTGTGCGCCAGCTGCGCCCGTACCTTGGGAAGTCGGATCTGGCCACGGTGGTCCACGCTCTTGTCACATCCCGGTTGGATTACTGCAACGCACTCTACGTGGGGTTGCCTTTGAAGACTGCTCGGAAACTTCAACTAGTCCAGCGAGAAGCAGCCAGATTGCTCACTGGAGCGGCGTACAGGGAGCACACCACCCCCCTGTTGCGTCAGCTCCACTGGCTGCCGATCCAATTCCGAGCACAATTCAAAGTGCTGGTTTTGACCTACAAAACCCTATACGGTTCCGGCCCAGTGTATTTGTCCGAACGGATCTCCCTCTACATCCCACCTCGAAGTTTAAGATCCTCTGGGGAGGCCCTGCTCTCGACCCCGCCACTGTCACAAGTGAGGCTGGCGGGGACGAGGAGCAGGGCCTTCTCAGTGGTGGCCCCCCACCTGTGGAACTCACTCCCCGGGGAGATCAGATCGGCGACTTCCCTTCTAGCATTTAGGAAAAAACTAAAGACCTGGATGTGGGACCAAGCTTTTGGTCATTCTGACAATTAACTCAAGGACCTGGCGATAGACAAGGACAAACGGAAGAGAATGGACTTATGGACTCTGATATAAGGACCCTGACATGTGATTGTTTTAGGATTCATGGTTTTATTATGTATTGATGTTTTAATTTTAACTGCTGTATTGTTATATTTTTGGATTACTTGTTGTGTGATTTGGGCATCTAATTGTGCCTTCTCTGTAAGCCGCCCTGAGTCCCCCTCGGGGTGAGAAGGGCGGGGTATAAGTGAATGAAATAAATAAATAAATAAATACATCCATCCATCTTGCCCTTGGTCGGACCTCTTCCTTTTTCCTTCCATTTTCCCCAGCATCTTTCTCTAAGCTTTTCTGTCTTCTCATTATGTGGCCAAAATACTTCATCTTGGCCTCTATTTCCTTCCCTCCACTGAGCAGTCGTGCTTTATTTCCTGAAGTATTATCTGCACAGCAAAACCCTTAAATACAAGTTTGAAACTTCCAAAGGGCGCTCCTACACTGACACTATAATGCAGCTTGGAGCTGATTCTAGAGAAACTATGATAGCTATGTTTAAAAATTTGAAAGCATGTCACGCAAGCTAGTGGTTCTGCTGCTCCAGAGACTAAGGCAGGGGTCCTCAAACAAAGGCCTGGGCTTGATGCGCCCTCAAAGGTCATCTACCCGGCCCTCGCTCAGGGTCAACTTAAGTCTGAAACGACTTGAAAGCACACAACAATAACAACAATCCTATCACATGAGCCAAAACCAGGTCCACACTTCCCATTGTTCTTCATTTTAATTATTGTATTGTTTTTAAGTGTTTTTTGCACCACAAATAAGATATGTGCAGTGTGCAAAGGAATTCATTCATGTTTTTTCAAATTATAATCCAGCCCTCCAACAGTTTGGGGGACTATGACCTGGCCCTCTGTTTAAAAAGTTTGAGGACCCCTGGACTAAGGCATGGCACAGTGGGTTCAAATTGCAGGAAAAGAGATTCCACATCAACATCAGGAAGAGCTGTTTGACAGCGAAATGATCTTCCTTCTTGGGAGGGGGGGGGGGTTAAGAAGAGACTGAGTGGTCACCTACTGGAGTGCTTTCATTGTACTTTTCCTGGATGGGAGTTGTACTGGATGGCCCTTGTATTCCCTTCTGTGATTCTATGATTCTACGAACCTGTTTTGCTGTGCAGGTAATTAGATTGCCATGCCTGGAATTGAGGCCAGGAAGATTATTACACTTACCACAGAACCTGGCTACAAAACCCCTTTGAATGTTTTTCTTTTTCCCAATTCCTGGAAAAATTCACATTGGTGCATTGGAGCCTTGTGGGGTGAGAGGAGGGATCAGGGATAAACTGGAATCTGCTGATATATGTGGCTTATATCAGACTTTCCTGTGACTTTTTAAATGTGCTGCTTCCCCTTTGAACCATGCTGCAGCACGCGTTGGCTGCCTGCGTTCTGTGTCCAGTGTGGCCTGGAGTTGTCTCGGAGCTGCATTATACTGTCAGAACAAATGAGCCTGAAGAAGTCTTGCTGCTTGCTGCTCTTTTGAGACCCATCTACACTGCCAGATAATCCAGTTTCTGAATGCACACAACATACAAACTATCTACAGACCCACCAAGAAAATTGAATAAATCGAATAAATGCTACATTCAGCAAAGGACAAGAGGGATCCTCTCACTTCTGCAGGAGTCTACTGGATACCAAGTCTACACAGGGACCACCAAACACAGCATTGCCCAAACACGAATCAAGGAATATGAAAGGCACTGCAGACAATTTCAGCCAAAGAAGTCAGCCATAGCAGAGCACCTGATGAACCAACCTGGACATAGCATATTATTTGAGAGCACAGAAATGCTGGACCACTCAAACAACCACTATGTCAGACCCCCATGAAAATGAACAAAATCTGGCTACTAGTATTAAAAAAAACTCTAAAATTACAACAGCAAAGCAACAGAGAGGAAATAATCTGGGACATCTAATCATCTCTCAACAAAAGATTGCCCCAGGCATTGCCGGGCCATCAAATGCTAATCAAGGTAGTCAGTTATTATTATTATTTTTATTATTAAACTTTATTTGTACCCCGCTAGCATCTCCCAAAGGACTCGATGCGACTTACAGAGGCCGAGGCCTCAACACACAATATAACTGCAAACACTATCTCAAGCAAATATTTATTTATTTATTTATTATTCGAACTTATATGCCGCCACTCCCCTGGGGCTCGGAGCGGCTTACAAGAACAGGCTAAAATCAAACACAATTTAAAAACAATTTAAAACAATTTAAAAACAGCCAGTGTAGGGGCCTGTCTAAGATCTTTGGGGAGGGTGTTCCAGAGTTGGGGGGGGGGGGAGCACCACGGAGAAGTCGCCCTTGGGCTGAGAATTGCGGTATATAAGTGAAGTAAATAAATAAATAAATAACAATACAATCTAAGCAAATCAAATCATTTAAAACAAAATAAAGCAAAAAGAACAACAGGCAATAAACAATACACTAAACACAATAGAACTGGGCCAGGCCAGGGTAATGGGTACAAGATTAAAAGTGCTGATGTGACAGGAGGTATATATAAGGCTTCTAGGGCAAGTGCGGTGTGCGATGTGCAGCAATCATTGGTTCTAGTAAAGTGCTTATGGGACTTGGTAGTGGAGATTTCCTAATCTGGGAAGGCGCTATGGAATAGCCAAGTCTTCAGGTTCTTTCTGAAGGCTGCCAGTGTAGGGGCCTGTCTAAGATCTTTGGGGAGGGTGTTCCAGAGTCGGGGGGCCACCAAGGAGAAGGCCCTGTCCCGCGTCCCCACCAAGCGCGCTTGCGATGCAGGTGGGATCACGAGCAGGGTCTCTCCAGATGACCGAAGTGAGCGCATGGGTTCGTAGATGGAAGTTGAGACATTCACACCTAGCTCCAACAGACAAGAGTCCTTTGTCTCAATCTGGTCATTCCACAGATATATAAACCCAATTTTCCTAGTTCCAACAGACCTCACTACCTCTGAGGATGCTTGCCATAGATGCAGGCGAAACGTCAGGAGAGAATGCCTCTAGAACATGGCCATATAGCCCGAAAAAACCTACAACAACCCAGTGATTCTAGCCATGAAAGTCGATTATATAGAAGTGTAGATCAAGCTTTGGTTTCCCTGCAGCGCGTCATCGCATTATGCCTGTGCATTGATTTGGGAGTAAGCTTCTTCGCGGCCTCAGCGTCGGGGGGCTTTGAGGGAAGCGGGGGGGGGGGGCTCTTTGTTCAAACTCTGCGCCGCGCCCTGAACAGGGGCAGAGTTTGCTACAGGACAAACGGGACTCTAAACGAGAAGTTTCCCTGACAGGAGGCTTCCCCGCTCCTCCTCCTCCTCTTCTGCCGCCCAAAGGGAGTGTTCCCTGTGAGGAAAGGGACGCGCCGCTCACCCGCCAGGCCCGGCAGCCAGAGGAGCAGCAGCAGCAGCAGCCGCGCGGGCGCCGAGAGAAGGGCCATCCGGGTCTCCCAGGTCCCCCGCTGCGGAGGGCCCGCGCGCGCCGCCATGGCCCACTCCCCTCCGCTCTCTCCGCCGCGCGCCACCCGCCGGCCACTCAGGCGCCTCCCCATTGGCCGAGGACCCCGCCGGCCACGCCCCTGCCCCGCCGCGGACTCCCCTCCCCTCCCCACAGCTGCTCCTGCTCCATCCCCTCCAGAGGCGGAAGTGATCTCCCCGCCTCCTCAGAACCGTTATTCCACCTCCTTAGGAAACAGCTCGGCTTTCATATCAGACTCATAGAATCCTAGAGTTGGAAGAGACCTCATGGGCCATCCAGTCCAGGAATATTGCATTCAAAGCACCCCTGACAGATGGCCATCCAGCCTCTGTTTAAAAGCTTCCAAAGAAGGAGCCTCCACCACACTCTGGGCAGAGAGTTCCACTGCTGAACGGCTCTCACAGTCAGGAAGTTCTTCCTCATGTTCAGATGGAATCTCCTTTCTTGTAGTTTGAAGCCATTGTTTCGCGTCCTAGTCTCCAAGGAAGCAGAAACAACAAGCTTGCTCCCTCCTCCCTGTGGCTTCCTCTCACATATTTATACATGGCTATCATATCTCCTCTCAGCCTTCTTTTCTTCAGGCTAAACATGCCCAGCTCTTTAAGCTGCTCCTACACATTAAAACGATTTCTAAAAATACATATATTAAAATACACAGAACGATGATTTAAATGCAGTGGACACAAGACACAAGTCTAAAATTCATGGTTAAAACCAGCTGGGTAGAAGAGATGACAATTATGCTGGGGAAAGTGGAAGGCAAAAGGAAGAGGGGCCGACCAAGGGCAAGATGGATGGATGGCATCCTTGAAGTGACTGGACTGACCTTGAAGGAGCTGGGGGTGGTGAGGGCCGACAGGGAGCTCTGGCATGGGCTGGTCCATGAGGTCACGAAGAGTCGGAGACGACTGAACTAATGAACAACAACAAACCTAAAACCAGAGAGCAATGTGGACTCAAACAATGATGGATCTGGACCAAACTTGGCATAAATACTCAATATGCCCAAATATAAACACAAATGGAGTTTGGTGGAAATAGACCTTGACATTTGGTAGTTGTAGTTACTGGGATTTATAGTTCACCTAGAATCAAAGAGCATTCTGAACCCCACTGATGATACAATTGGGCCAAACTTGCCACACAGAATCCCCATGACCAAGAGAAAATACTGTTTTCTGATGGGTCTTTGGTGACTTCTCTGACACCCCCTCACGACCCTCCCAGGGGTCCCGACCCCCAGGTTGAGAAACACTCTCTATTGTAACTTTTAACAAATAAGCATCTGAATGATAAATCTACAGTGTATATGCAAAAGGATAGAAAAAAGGATATGTTAATGACAAAACTTTCATGAATATTTTATAAGAACTCTTTCAAAACACCCTGTGATGAAATCCCATTTTCCCCAGACAATGTTTTTATTATGTAGTCCCATCTGCCCTTGTTGTTCTAAAGAAGAAAATCCAGGATTAGGAAACACATCTTTCAAAAAACAGAAAGGGTACTCTTGAAGGTTGCTATAACAAACTCTGTCCCTAGGGTCATCTCTGATAACCTCTGTGCCATTCTCTGTAGGTCTTATAGTCTGTCTCAAAACTAACAAGTGGGTTAATGAATGATTATTCCACTAATTAGCCTATAGTCAGCCCTCCCTATTTGCTGTGGTTAGTTTCTTTTTTAACCTAAGAGCAATTCTCCAGGAAGTTTAAGTTCTCCAGCACAACTCTATGATTATCTTCCAGTGGAGGTTGATGATATAATTGTTCTAGAGGACCTAGAGATTGTTAGAGAGGATATTTTATACAATCCATGAATAATCAGCTCTTCAAAAGTTGAACCCACAAATGTCGAATATTAATTTATCAATTAACTGTCCACATTATGAGTATTATACGGCATAGGCACATGTTTGGTCGATGGCAGCATCGACCAACCAGGAAAAAAAATTCGAGAAGGGTTGAAACTTTTTTTAAAGCAAATCATGAAGAGTAGGTCCATAACAGAAAATCATTTAAATTCTGTGACTCATTCTATATTTTTATAGAGACTTAATTAAATCAAATTTCGATTTTAGATACAAAGTTTGAAATCTAAAAAAACCCTGAAAATGACTTACTGTATATACTCGAGTATAAGCCTAGTTTTTCAGTCCCTTTTTTAGGCTGAAAAAGCTCCCTTCGGTTTATACTCGAGTCAAGATTATTTATTATTTTACTCTGTTATTAGTATTATTTTTATTACATTTATTATCTTACTCTATTATTACATTTACATTATTTTACATTTATTATTTTACTCTATATATTACTGTTTTTATCACATTTATTATTTTATTCTATTTATTATTATTATTACATTTACATTATTTTACTCAATTATTTTTATCACATTTATTATTTTGCTCTCTATTATTATTGGAAGGATACGTAAGCACATTTACACTGAAGGTTAAAATAATGGTTTAATCAGAGTTGGACAGTCTTATCTTAAATTACAGTTTTATGTAAATATTCAAAAACATTTATCCTATTAATGCCTCAATGTAATTTTATTGGTATCTATTTTTGTTTTAAAATTTACCAGTAGCTGCTGCATTTCCCGCCCTCGGCTTATATTCGAGTCAATACATTTTCCCAGTTTTTTTGTGGTAAAATTAGGTACCTCGGCTTATATTTGGGTCGGCTTATACTCGAGTATATATGGTAATTGGTAATTGAGTGGTTATAAAAGTATACCACAACTCCTGTTGGAAATGCTGGAAAACTGTCAATACACTTTGACCGAAATCAGGCTCCATCGATAAACTTTGGTGGAAACTCAAGAGTTCAAGTCCAGTCAATCTACATTTCAATCCACTCATCAATCTTGAATGCACAGAACCAAAAAATGTATTTCTCAAGCATCCCTACACAGAAATTACTATGCTTTATTTTTTGTTTTTTCCCTCTAATAAGAGCTCTTATCCAGAGCATATCTACAGTCTAGGCATAATTATCACTTGTGTAAATTTCAGTCTCCCAAAAGAAATCACAAACATACATTTACTTTAAAAAGAAAAAGAGAAATAATTGCTTTATTTTCTACTGTAATGTTAGCACTCAACAATAAGCGTTACTTTCCTACTATTTACAATTCTTCATTATACACTCTAGAAATACAAAATTAATTAGACATATATGCTGAAATGTAACAATTCTGTAAGGCTTAGAAGTGACTCTTGTCCATATTTTTTGCAATTTACAATCTAAAATGTAAAAATGTATACATGTCATTACTTTTATTGAGGAATGGAAGGCCTGCTGCTACGTTGTCAAAACAGTATACATACTTGAAAAAATAGAAATGAAGTATGCAGTTTTGGCAGAAGATTCAATCAGCCTGATCCAAGGCTTGTTTAAATATGAAGATGTTCCAATATGGATTGATCCAATATGGATTTCCACACACATGGTGAGTTTGCATTGGAGGGTACTCTGTGTGTACATTGATTTCCGTGCTGGGCACCAAGCTGCCCCCCAGCATTGAAACCAATAGGAAAGGCCACTTTAGCTAGAGTACCAGAGGCAGAGCACACTAAGAACTTTGGATCAGAGCCAGTTTAGTACCAGCAATGTTGCAGATTTATTGGTATAATACCCATATTTTTAAAGACATATAAGAGCCAACCTTGAGAATGTTCTGAAAAAAACATTACACACATAATGAGGTAAATGTACCTTGGTCTTTTAAAGAGGTAATTTAAGTTTAAAGCAACTGATTTAAAAAACACACACATATGAACATAGTTTGAATACCACCAAAATCAATACAATAGCACAAGGCATTAAGAAAAATGTGGATCCATGGCACTCAAGATAGCAAACTATTATTTTGTTAGAATAGCCTCTTTCAAATGAAGGCATGAAAGGCTACCAAAATGTGGACAAGCAATTGAAATATAAAACAGAACTCCAGTTCTCAAAGTTTAACCAATTCTTAAGTTCCAGCATTCCGGAAAGTACAGCTATGTCTTTTGAGGACAGGACTTGCTGTTCTTCCTTCAATGAAATGTATATGCAATCTGATCGTTCACTCATAATCTAAAACACAACTTTAATACCAACTTTAATACAAATAAAGCATATCCTTGAAATGATGTAAGATTAATATTAAAATATTTTGGTCCCCTGGACTCATGACAAAAATAACAATATACCCTCTTAAAAATAACACTTGCCTTAAAAAGTCTTTACAGAGTTACAAGGGTTGAATGAAAATAATGCCTCCACCTTCGTTGCTTGGGTTTGGATGGGAATATTTTAATAAAGCAAATGCAGAAATAATCCTAAGAATGTGCTCTTTAACTACCACTATTCACTTTTCCACATAATCACCAGACAATTGGATACATTTCTGTCAACGATGAACAAGTTTTATGACGCCATCACGGAAGAAGTCGACACTCTGTTTCCGCAACCAGTGTCTCACAGTTCTCTCAACGTCTTCATCAGAAGCATAATGATATCCCCGCAGCTCTTCTTTCATTATCGGGAACAGATGGAAGTCAGACGGTGCTAAATCTGGACTGGAGGATGTCAGACGGTGGTGAGATCCAGTCTCTAAAGTTTCAAGTCTGTGAGCTTTCATTTCAGGCATCGGCATCCTGGGTACCCATTGTGCACATATCTTCCAATAGCCAAGCAAAGCAATGTGATCCACACATTCTTGTGAAATGTCGATTATGCTTGAAATTTCTCTCTGATAGGATGATCATCCTGAATCACTGTTAACCTTTTGCTTGTGAAACTCAATGGTTGCTGTCACAGGACGTCCAACTCTTTGTTTTTCAAGCAAGTCTAATGTTCCCACCTCAACACCTTCAAACTTACTCACCCAACAATGCACAATACTCATATCAACACAATCACCCTAAACAGCTTGCATTCTCTGATTAATCGCCTTTGGGGTGACACCTACTGCTGTCAAGAATTCAATAACTGCACATTGCTTAAGTCACATTGATCGACCATCTTCACAGGGTTCCATACTTTGCACAATACAACCGTTCAATGCTAAGGCTTCCTGCCAAAATGGAACTGTAGAGGAGTCTACTGAACAAGCCAGTACCTGTTGCACACCACTACTGCCATCTGTTGAGGAGTTACAAGGGTGGAGGCATGACTTTTCATTCAACCCTCGTATTATAGAAATTTGTTTGACTATATGTAGTTTAATTTATTGATGTCAAGTTTAATTTACTGGTGCTAGGTTTTTAATTTGATGTTAAGTTTTAATGCTACTTTTATATATGGGGTTTTTCTGGGATTTTATATCAGTATCATGTATTTTATGTAGGCATTGAATGTTTGCCATTGTTATGTTGGAATCCACCCTGAGTCTCCTCAGGGAGATAGGGTGGAATACAAATAATAATAATAATAATAATAATAATTATTATTATTATTAGCCCCATTTTCTGTACTGCTACTATGTTCCCTATGTTCTTCCTGAAAGAAAATAAAAAGGAAGATGAGAGGTGGTGCATTGAGGGCAGCAGATATAAATGGGCTATTCAGAGGTGTGAGACAGGGAGAGAGAAACTGTCTGAGACCCCTTACACAAAACTGAATAAAATCCCACATTATCTGTTTTGAACTTGTTTATATGACAGAATACCCAATTCAAAGCAGATATTGTGGGATTTTCTGCCCTGATATTTTGGGTTATATGGCTGTGTGGAAGGGCCTTAGTTATTCTGGTTGTTTCTAGGTATTTCCCAGGTCTTCCTGATTTGAGTGTGGATAACCTGAAGAAATCAAGAGTCAGCTAGATGAAAGTATTTGCCCATCTCTAAGCTATACTGTACTTCATAAAAATAGAAAAGAAATAGATATTCTATACATACACATTCATTTACAGATATTACGGAATAAAGAATGAAAAAATATGAACAAACTTCAAATCATACCACAGGCAAAGCTATAAAAACTGTACAATTTTTACGTACATATTCTTTTGTTTTAAAGAATGGTTCAAAAATCGACCTCATATTTTGCAATACTGGTCACCTTTTACAGACTCAGTGACGTGCCATTGACATGTGATATGCTAAAGACATTTAGCTTGCGGGAAATATAGACAACCAAAGTGACAAACAGCTGTAACAGAGTTAACATTCATTATTATCATTTTGCATCCTTGTAATAATGATTGAAAATCTCCAAAGTTTTGATTTTTGATTCACATGAAAAGGCAAACCCAATTTTGAGACCAGTTTGTTTTTGCTTTACAAATGGAATTGTAAAGAATTTGGAAGAGATACTGTCAAAGTAAACACTGCACTTTTCCAGTTCTCTAGCTGTTAGCAAACAATTTAAAAAACTTGGAGCATGTAATGAAATCCATTATTTGACACCTAAATTTTGTAGCTAACAGCAAATGCCAGATATGCCAGAGGAAAACCTGTAAAACAGCTGGTTTAAAATATCCAGATGCTATTTAGTAGATTGAGGTTCAATTTGGGGACCTCTGCAGAGTTGTACAAATGCTTCTGGCTTTGGAAATAGCTGTGTAAAACCTTCCAAGAACACTACTTGTTGAAGGAATGGAGACAGGAGTCTGTATTCAGTCCCTCTTTCTCCCCCTATTTACACACTGGTATGACCAGAGCTAACCACTTCTCTTTAAACATGTTAGTAAACCCAATCCACAAAATCAGGAACATTATGATATACTTACATCTTTCACCTGTGGCATATATCCAGCAAGGCTATGTGCCAACAGTAGTTTTGCATGTGGACTATTCTTTTAAAAAGCAGGTATAACTCATATTTTATCAAAGCCATTTTCTCTGAACAAATAAAGAAGAAATATCCTACAGCCTCAACAGACAGCATTAGAGAACAAAAATTTAGCATTTTAGTAGTGTACATAATTTTAGCATTTTAGTAACGTATGTTATTTATAAGAATCTTGAAAGACTCTGTACAAATTACAATTAAGTGCCATTTTTGACACGTTTACTGCATGTATCCGTCTACTTCCCTTTCTACAGAACTAGTGTTTTTGGTAAAAAGAAAATAATTTCATACATGAGTATGAAATCTCTTTTCATATTATGTAACATCAGCACCAAAGTCATTGCCTGTCCCTAGTGAAGATTCTGAAGTGGCACTAACTGGTACAGTACAATGTGTTTTGAAGGCAAGAAATGCTGTGAAAGCAAAAGGAGAGTAATATAATACAAAATACAATTGCATATGTAGTGTATATTATTCATCCAAGCTGAATGAAGTCGTGCCAGCAAATCCTCATAAAAAGTGTTCAAACATGTTAGTCTTGGCAGCCAAAAACATACACTCTAGTAAGAATAAGCTGTGGTTCAGTATATACAGTGTACCGTCATGTGTAGAGCAAGTAGCTTTTAAAATCTTCAAGGCATCCTTTAATGCAATGAGTAGTGTGCAGCGTGCACCACCTCTGCTGTTTTAAGCATAAGCTTTATGTTCTTAATACAACAAAGACCAGCATTACCGCTTGAAAAACAGTTACATTATACTGAAGCTAAACTAATGCCCTGGGAAAGATGTGTTCATAGTGCACAATATGAATCTGTACAACAGTTTAATGTCACTACTGAAATCCTGGGCTATTCACTGATCTTCCTATTGTGTAAAAGGCAGCAGTATCTTTCTGTTCTCTCAGTGAGGTAGAACCATTAGCTTCTCTATGCACAAATCAAGTGCAGATGTGGACCTCTAGAAGTTTCCTTCACAATCATTTCCAAGACTACATTTTTATGCCTTCTTGTTGACTGAGCTGGGATAATGTCTTCTTTATGCGTAAGGCTGTTAATCTTGCTGCACCATTGGCATACCAACATTCTCTCATAATTTTAGCCATTACTCGTAAGGCCTGTGAAGTAAAAATAGCAGAATATTAGTTTGTATACCATAACTGCACTTTATAGTAATCTAATCAATTATCTAGATTGGAAATCAGCATGGTGTTGTGGTTTTGGTGTTGAGCAATGACTCTGGAGACTGCCAGCTTTTCCTGTTTCATGCTTCTTATATTTTATATTCCACTTACATATGTTGTGTAGTGCTAGCATTTCCTTTCACCTATGTGAGAGCTGGACCTTAGGGAAGGCCGAGAGAAGGAAGATAGATGCTTTTGAGCTGTGGTGTTGGAGGAAAGTTCTGAGAGTGCCTTGGACTGCGAGAAGATCCAACCAGTCCATCCTCCAGGAAATAAAGCCCAACTGCTCACTAGAGACAAAGTTGAAGTACTTTGGCCACATCATGAGGAGACAGGAAAGCCTAGAGAAGACAATTATGCTGGGGAAAGTGGAAGGCAAAAGGAAGAGGGGCCGAGCAAGGGCAAGATGGATGGATGGCATCCTTGAAGTGACTGGCTTGACTCTGAAGGAGCTGGGGGAGGTGACGGCCGACAGGGTGCTCTGGCTTAGGATGGTCCATGAGGTCACGACGAGTCGGAGACGACTGAACAAATGAACAACAACAATACACATCATAACAGCTGAACATCCTTTTACGTTTGAGTTTAGCTACAGCAGTGTTTCTCAACCTGGTGGCCAGGACCCCTGGAGGGTTCGCATGGGGGTGTCAGAGGAGTCGCTGAAGACCATCAAAAATGCAGTATCCATTGTTGGTGGAGTTCAGAATGTTCTTTGATTGTAGGTGAACTATAAATCCCAGCAATTACAACTCCCAAATGACAAAATCAAACCCCTCCAACCCCACTAGTATTTAAATTCGGGTGTATTGGGTATTTGTGCCAAATTTGGTTCAGTCAATGAAAATACACCAGATATTTACATTACAATTACATTACAACTGATATCAGTAGCAAAACATAGAGTTATGAAGCAGCAACAAAAATTATTTTATGTTTGGAGGGGTCACCCCATACATGTATTAAGGGGTCGTGGCATTAGGAAGGTTGAGAAACACTGAGCTACAGCCTTAGACCTAATGCTACTCATACCTGTCTGCTTTTCCCTTCAAAACTATGGTGGAGAGCTACAACCTGGAATTTTCATTTAAGTAAAAGACTTTAAGAGTGACTTATTACTGCCTTCTTCTGAACAGCACAAGCTCCTTCGGTGTTAGCTATAGTGCCACCAGTGTCACCCCACTACAGCTTCTGTGGATATCAAGCATTTTTATAGTGCTGAACACTGGATTTCCATGGAGTCATAAAATATCCCAGAAGCCACTCAATAGTTTTAATATGTGTTAAATCTTAGAAATACATTTCAATCAATAACCTTCAAGAATGCATAGGAATGACAGAGGTTCATTGTTTTCACTCAAAATAGTTTTGATTCATATATTAATATAAAAAAATAAATGTTTTTTAAATACTGTAATACACCTAGAAATAAAATCTTACCTCACAGCTCTGCCATCTGTTTGGAATATTAGGTCGTAGCTTCTGTTCACAAACAACTTTTCTCATTTCTTCAACTGAAGGATCAGAAGGGACTAAGTCATAATATGGCAACTGATAATCTTCATGAATCCCTGAGTTATGAAAACAAAGGTACAAATTCAGGCTCTGTGATGACAGTAACAGAGTTCTATCATCAATTTTGTTGCATTTATTTTTGTACCTACCACCAATGGAACATCGGCGAGCTATCTCCCAAAATACTAATCCCATTGCATATATATCGGCTCTTTTGAAAGACTCAAAATGTTTCATATTTATGGAATCATCAAGTACCTCAGGAGCCATGTACCTGTTTTAAAAAAGATGTATTACTGACAAAGCAGTAAGGTACTGTTGCCATTCATCACAATAATTTTAGGGGCACTGAATACTGACTTACCTTTACACAAACCAATCTTCAGTAAATCTTTTTAATGTGAACAATATAATGTGTCTAACATTGTCATTGATGTTGGTATTTGCCTTCTACACAATTAAAAATAGGAAAATTATCATATTGAAATCAAATCTGATGTTTTTTAAACTTTTATTTGGTGTGCGTTGGAAGAGGGATAGCCTTATACGGCGAGAATATCCCAAACTCTATATTTTAACTGGAAAAGTTGGGGTCGTCTTATATACCCAATCGTCTTATACGCCGGAAAATATGGTAAATAAAGTTTGATTGACTAATTGATTGCGTGGAGCTTAGATTCCTTTTCCTGATTTTCTTAGTACTCTCTGAATATGAATGCCTTTAATATCTGCTTGATATTACAAAGCAGACTAAGTGTTGAATAAATGGGTTTGTTTTACTGTAATGCTGTTTTCAAATGTAACCCTTTGCCTTCTTTTTATATTTATTTATTTTTATATAATAAGAAAACCTTAAAGTGCTACTTTCTCAAGAGTTCAACAGTTATAGTTTCAATTTTCTTTTTTAAAAAGTTGAAAGAAAATTGAACCATTAAATGTATAAGTGTTGTCTGAATAAACTATGCATTTAAATTTAGGACACAAAAGGAATTACTGCATTTTTTCATTTTCACTCCCTTCCAGAAGCCCCCCCCCCCGAAAGATATCCACATTTGGTGTTTCCCCGATTTAAAAACAGCAAAAGGAAAGGTAAATCCTTCAACAATGAAGAACTCTCGGAGCTCTTCAGAGTGTTATTTCTGCACAAAAATTCTATAGAAAAGTTCAGAACCAGACTGAAAACACAGGAAGGTATAAATTGTGAATCCCCACTCTCTGGAGTGGAGATTCATAATTATAGACCCCATCCATCTGAACCGGGGGAAGGGTCATACAAGAAGTGAAGAAAGCTTGGCACTACAGGAAAAAAAATTATGTGCACTTCTCCCTTCAGTCTCTTGCTATCCATGTGGCCACTAGAGTGCACTATGTCACTGCGATGACTAAAAATGCAAAGAAAAGAAAAGTGAAGATTAAGCTTAGTTCTCACAAAGACCAATACAGGCAGTCCCTAAGTTACAAAGGTATATGATTCCAAGTTAAGAACATGTGTGTGTGTGTGTGTGTGTGTGTGTGTATGGGAAGGGGGTGCTAGGTGCGCCTGGAAGCAGGTAGGCCAGCCACCAGTGCACACCCGGCCTTTTGCAGTATTTGAATATATTCAAACATTTACTTACACGCACAGGTAAAAATCAATAATACATTAAGACAAACATCTGACCAAGTTGTATTTAAAGTAGAACTTGATGCAATTTTATATATTTGAAATTTTGGTTAGTATGGTGTGGGATTAGAGCCATTGTGAGATTTTTACTGCTGCTTGCACCCTCATTAGAAAGATTTATTCTCACTTCCTGTCCCTGAGACAAAAAGAATTGACAGGAAATTTGAAAGAGCTATCATAGGAAATAAATAAATAAATAAATAAATAAATAAATAAAGGTGTCTCTGCTGAAGATTCATCGCCAATCCTTGTTTCCACAACATGCCACATTTTTCAAAATCCAGTTGTCACAGGGAAAGAAAGTGAGGTTAAATATTCTGAACAGGTACACAGATAGCAAAACAAACACCACAGGGATGTTAACTCTTCCCTATGCTATCCAAAGTTTAAAAAATAATAATTGGTTGGAGCTACACTTAAGAAATGTACCTGTTCCGAATTAATTAACATCCAAATTCAACTTAAGATCAAACCTACATAACTTCTCTTGGGGACTGCCTGTAACTCAATTCTAATACCCCAGGCAAGGTATCAAATGATGGAATACTTGCTCATATGGGAAAAAATCTGTCAGGGGACTAGCCTATTTCTTTTTGTAAATGAAAGAGCATTCCACAATTAGTCGGCAGCAATATGGTCCAGACAGAAATTTATCTCCTCACCTGCTGCTGTGAGAATGAAAGAGTTGTGTAACATTAGAACAACCAAACTATAATCCTACAAAAATAATTTAGATGTATAATTATAATGTACAAATACTTTTAAAGGCATTTAAACAAATTACCCTAAAATTCATGTTCAAAACCAACATTCCATGCTCTGATATAAACTACATGGTTTCCATTGTAGCAGTGCAAAATCTAATTACAGCTGAAACTGCCTTCAAATCTGCAGCTATCCAAGATGTTGTATTAAAGAGAATATATTTACCTTTTTGTTCCCACTCTGTGGTTCGGTGCAATATCTATTGTGTCTGTAGCAGAATCATGTCTTACTGCCAGGCCTAAATCTGCAATACAGCATGTTCCATTTTTCTTTACCAATATATTTTTTGATTTCAAATCTCTGTGAGCTATGGCGGGTTTCCCTGTATTAAAAAAAAAACCAGCACATTATTTTCTGAAAATAAATTTCTCGAGATTTCACATTTAAACCCACATTCATTACAGAACTCTGGGGGAAAAAAACTAATGTTAAACAGATTACCATTTAAATTTTTGAACAAATTTAAACATTTTAGAGAAAATTTTAAATGACCCAAAGACATTAACTCTTTGAATTAAACCAGTTAACAGAAATGACCGAGATTACTGAGATAAATAAAGCGCTCCTAGTATATTATTGTTTCTATGAACTGATTTAATGAATACTTGAGAACGCAATAGTGTACATCCATTTCACTGTTCCTGCAACGCTAATTCCAGACTCAGTTAAATACTTTTTATTGTCCACAGACAGTTTTACATATTGTCCATATATGACTAATTTATTAAATGACTAAATCCTCTGCTTAGGGGAAGACAACATATTTATTTTTTATTTATATCCCACCCTCTCCCTTGTGAGGGACTCAGAGTGGCTCAAAATCGGCAACAATTTGATGCTGTTCAAACATGAACAGTTAACTAAAAAATACAAAAACATCATATATGCACAAATCAAAAACACAAATACACAATGAGACAGTATTAAAACATACAAAATATCAGAATATCCTTCTTTATGCTTCATGGAAAATTGAACTATAAAAATATATTTGTTCTACAACTAAATTGAACTGACGAGCATATATATTAGAAATCTGTGCTCACAAAACTTTATTTAATAAAGCATCAGGTATTGTTTATGCATGTAACTCTTCTTGATAGGCCATACTGGTTATATAAAAGATTCATTATGATAAATTACCCTGAGTGCCAACAATCTCCATATGAAGATGTGCAAGTCCACTGGCAGTAGACAGAGATAGTTTTATCATTCCTTCCACAGTGACTGTATATCTGTTTAAGTAATCAAAGAGAGAACCATGCTCATGGTAATCTGACACCAGCCAGAGCTGTGTCCATGTACCATTATCTGTAAGAAGGAAGAAGAATTATAAAACATTTCCAAAGAAGAAACACAAATAAACTCCACATGTTCTTATGCATGGCCATCATTTCATGTAACTATCCTCTCTGAAGCAAGATTTCAAGACAATTTAAAGGTTTTTTTTAAACTGTGGCCAAAAATAAATTAAAATATTTGTCCTTGCATATATTAGCTGCTTATGCCCCAGAGGTGAATAAAATTTAAATAGTCTTTAAGCATAAGATTACAGATAAAGCCCCAAATATTGCTGGTTCCAAGAAGAGTGAATTCCCCAATCAATTGTAAGTCTATGCTTATGTAAATCCCATGTTACAAGAACAAATACTATATTTTATCACATAATAGTTGTCACTTTGTAATAATAACACCCACATTTTTGGGGTGATGAAATTGGTATTTTTGTGTTCCTCAGATAATAGGCACAAAGCTGTTTGGGGCAAACTAGAATCATAGAGTTGGAGGAGACCTCATAGGCCATCCAATCCAACCCCCGGCCAAGAAGTAGGAAAATAGCATTCAAAGCACCCCCGACAGATGGCCATCCAGCCTCTGTTTAAAAGCTTCCAAAGAAGGAGCTTCCACCACACTCCGGGGCAGAGTTCCATTGCTGAACAGCTCTCATAGTCAGGAAGTTCTTCCTAATGTTCAGATGGAATCTCCTTTCTTGTAATTTGAAGCCATTTTTCTGCGTCCTAGTCTCCAGGGCAGCAGAAAACAAGCTTGCTGCCTCCTCCCTATGACTTCCTCTCACATATTTATACATGGCTATCATGTCTCCTCTCAGCCTTCTCTTCTTCAGGCTAAACTCCAAGATCTTTTTCACACGTACTGCTGTCAAGCCAGGCGTCCCCCATTCTGTATCGACGTGAGGTTGACCGGACGGTAATTGTTTGGGCCGTCCTTTTTTTTCCCTTCTTGAAGGGACCACATTGGCCCTCCTCCAATCTGCTGGGGCTTCTCCCGTTCTCCAAGAACTCTCAAAGATTATTGCCAATGGTTCTGAAATGACTTCCGGTAGTTCCTTCAATAGTCTTGGGTGCAGTTGATCTGGCTCTGAACTCATTTAGAGCAGCCAGGTATTCCTGGATGATTTGTTTCCCACTTTGGACTTGGATGTCCTCTAATCCCTCATCCACTCCATCTTGCTGAGGTTGAAGATGACAAAGAAGGCATTAAGTAGTTCTGCCTCTTCTCTATCCCGTCAACATTGCCCTATCTTCTCCTCAAAGAGGCCCTATCGCCTCCTTGTTCTTCCTTTTTCTACTGACGTAAGCAAAGAAGCCTTTTTTATTGTTTTTAATGTCCCTGGCAAGCCTGAGCTCGTTTTGTGCTTTAGTCTTGTAAACCTTTTCCCTACAGGAGTTGGCTATTTGTTTGGATTCTTCTTTGTCGATTTCTCCCTCTTTCCACTTTTTGTGCATGTCTCTTTTTAGTCTTAGCCCTGTTAGAAGTTCTTTGAACATCCATTCCAGCTTCTTTGTACTTGTCCTATTTTTTTCTCTTTGTTGTCACTGTTTGCAATTGTGCCTTGAGTATTTCACTCTTGAAGAACTCCCATCCATCTGTAACTCCCTTGTCTTTTAATATCTGCATCCATGGAATGCTGCTCAGTATTTCCTTCATTCAGCTCTCCTAAAGTCCAAAATGCGGGGTTGACTTGTCTTTGTTTCGGCCTTCCTTTGTACCTCAAACTGCTGGAGCACATGGTTACTTGTCCTTAAGGATTCAACCACTTCAACTGCATCAATCAGGTCTTCTACATTTGTTAGGATGAGATCGAGAGTAGCCGATCCACTTGTTGCCTCTTCTACCTTCTGGACCATACAATTGTCTGCAAGGCAAGAAAGGAATTCCCCCTTTCTTCTTTCTTTGAAGGCAAGGCAGTTCTAAAATGATGAAATGGTGGTCTCTGGAGCTCCGTTCTTCCCTCCTTCCTCCAAGGTAATTAGTTTAATGGTCTCTGGAACTCTTCCCTCCTTCCTTCTTTTGGCAAAGAGCTCCATTTTAGATTTTGTAAACTTCCTCCTTTGCTTTTGGAGAAAGGAAGAGAAGGGGAATCAAAAACAAACAAAGAAACTGAGTTTTTGCTTGAGGCTGGATCATCCTTCCTTTTCACCTTCCTATCTTGGAAGTAAAGCAGTTTACTTTACTTTAAAAACCCAGAAACCAAAGACTCAAAGGCAGATTTTTTTCCATTGTGTAGTAGTTGCACCCTCTTTTCTGATTAAAAAAAGAATAAAAAGTGTGACTATTATGTAATAAAATATGGTATTTGAAGATGATTGCTACTAACAGCAAAGTATATTATTATTAGCATTAATTTAGCCAGGACCATCACTGTACCTAAGACTTTACAAGTAAAAGACCAACAAAACAGTTCCCTGTTCTCATCTAATTAAGACATGACACAAAAGGAAAAAGAGGTGGAAGTGTGGGGTTTTAATATGCTTTTGAGAATTCCCTTAAGATCAGTAGAATGCCTGTAATCCAGATTTATGTTTTTTAAAAACCAATAGATTTATAATGTCATTTACAACATTTCACTGGAAAGCAGGAGTTGGTATGCTCCAGGGCCCAGAAATCTACACCCACCAATTTTCAGCTTTTTCAGAACTCCAGTGCATTAGTTTTCCTTTCACAGCCACCAATTGGGATCTCTTTTGGTCAAATTGGATTCATGTGCATTGCATGTGTTTTTTCAAAAATCTTAGGTGCAGCTCCTGAGTTCTGGCATGGATAAGTAAGGGTCCCAAGAACAACACTGGACCTTCCTCCACAACCTTCTCATGCTTGTAAGTTTCGAACCAAGTAAGGTAGATCAGAAACTATTTTAAAAAGTTTTCTAACCTTTATTGTCTGCAGCTATAAACCCAAGAATATTTTCATGACGTAGCATAACAGTTTGATAGATTTCTGCCTCACGAAACCAAGAACGTTCTTCTCTTGAAGAAAAAATTTTCACAGCAACTTCTTCTCCTCTCCATTTTCCTCGCCATACTTCTCCAAACCGACCTTTTCCAATGCTTTCTTGTAATACAATTGTTCTTGCAATTGTCCTTTGAACAAGTAATGGCAAACCTAAAGGACACAGTTTGTTTAACAATCAGTGACAAACACCCAGTAAATGAACCAAGAACTTGCTCGGATATTATACAGTAAAGCATGGTTTAAAATAGTCTCATCAATGCTACATTATACTAGAAGACAAATGTTACAGTTACTTAAACTAGTACTTTATTTTCTTATTGACCATCCGATTTTAGATAATTTACCAAATTTTTCCTGACTTCACTTAATCCTGCATTTAAAATTATATTTAACATTTTCAATGTAAAGAATGCCAGATTATTATTTTTTCACAAAGTAAACTGTTAAATTCACCCAGGATGGATGGAGACAGTTGTGAGTTTACAATGTTTTTTATTTTCAAAATAGAAAAATATATTGCTCTGCCTACACTTAGAAAGCATGAAGGCTACTCCTGCTGAAATATTATGCCACATCATCTCATTATCAAGCTCAACTTTTATTAAGTTCAACTTTTCTCCCCAATTACCTTCCTTCCACCTGGTTTGTGTAACATCTTGCCTGATAAAGAATTTTTCAAATTTTGGTATTAGCATAACCAAGATTTATAATTTTATCATTCACTGCCTTCAGCTATTTTTTTAATCAAGCCAGGTTCATGCGAGTTGGGTTATTTTAACTGATCATAGTTAAATGGACTGTGATTTAGTGGTGACTAATCTAAAAGACAATGCTACAAACTTCTTTCTCTTCACTGACAGGAGTAAAAGAAATGAAAGAAGTCTTAGCATTATTATGGTTTAACATTCCACCTGAATGAAGGCAGTCTTTGTAAATTCTACCCAGAGATCAGTAATTCTATTAATTTGTACATGTCTTAAACTAACATCATGACTATATTTCCATCCTATAACATGCAGTCTTGGTATATGTAAAAGTAAAACCAATCTAGAAAGAGTAAAACAATAAATTAGATTTATAAAAATATATCAAACTAGCTAAAACAAGTTGTAAAGATTTCAAACCATTTGTGTAAACAATCTGAAGTAGTACAATTAGGTCTCAAAGGCTTTAAGAACTATATATATGTGTTGACTTGATAACTAAATTAAACTTCCAATGGGTAAACATTCTACAAATGAGACAATCCAGCTAAGAAGGTGAGCCTTTACATCCTGAAGTAGGATTTACTGACCTCACAACTTGTCCCAAAAGAGGAGTATGTAATTGGCCGTATCCTTTCTTGGAAGATGTGAAAGAAGGTTACACATCTTCCAAGAGAGTATACCCGAAGATTTTTTGGATATTGTGAGGATATCAGGAATAAATAGTCAAAATAAATGTTAACAACAAACCAATTAATGTCTTTAAAAAATGATTAAAGTATTTTTAGGTAGGATTTGCTTACAAGTGGGAATTAGAGTTTGACATGCCATTGATAAACTACCAACAATCTTTACTTTCCATCTTCTGTAAGATAACTTCACATTTAAATATAGACATCTACAAGCAAAATGAAAGTTCCTTAGGGATTGAATAAATTCATCATATAAGGTAAAGAACCGGTCAAACTATGTATCAAGCAACATGATTTTTATTCCCACATTATTTAGCAAGTATTATGCTTACAATTTACATCTTTATTTGGAGGGAAACAATTACCTGATCCTGACCCTGATGTAGTCATATCATAAATTAAATCTTTTAGAGTAGTTCCTTCAGATATGAAAGGACGATCCATTGAAGGATCCTCTTCATTTGGAACACGATGGTGGATGACTGTGCGATTATGGCAGATGTATAGAACCAACATGAGAGAAATGCAAACAAAACAAACAGGGCCAGCAATGACAGCAGCCAGTTCCACTGGTCCTAGATTAGAAGAAAGCTTTCCTGGTATAGGACCTAAGATGTGAGATACGAATATAGAAAATAAAGAAGCGTAAGGGTAATCATAATGTATTAGTGAGGCATGTATGCATATAGTATTTGGTTTTTTATGAGTAAGAACAAAAGATAATTAAATTGCATAGATTCCCCCCTCATCCACTTGGTTGCGAAGGATAGTAATTCATTGCATTTGAAAAACAAAAATAGGAAAGGGTGCCATAAAATATATGCATATTATTCTGTTGTCTGCTTTCACTGAATTTGAGTTATTTTATCATCACTTACTTTTTATGTTTTATTTACTCTATTTGTATCCTGCCTTTCTCTACCCCAAAGGGGACTCAAGGTAGCTTTACATATGGAAACTATTAAATGCCTTTAAACAACAGTTAAAATATATTAAGTTAAATATTTAAATTTAAAATTAAATGCACATTAAAACATATAAAACATTACAATCACTATTAAAAATCACACCATCCACAATCATAATCTGGGGCTGTTCCAAAAACCATTGTACAAAATTTTGTAGCTATTATTGCACTGTAGTTAATCTCCAAAGGCTTGACCCCAGAACCAGCTTTTCACTTTCCTTCTGAAGGCTAGGAGGGAGGGAACTGCTCTAATATCACTGGGGAGGGAGTTCCACAGCCAAGGGGCCACCACTGAGAAGGCCCTGTATCTCGTCTCCAGTAGTTGCACCTGCGAAGGAAGCGGGACCAGGAGCAGTGCCTCCCCAGAAAAACTTAATCTTCAAGGTGGTTCATAGGAGGAGATATGTTCACGGACAGGTAAGCTGGGCTGGAACCGTTTAGGGATTTATAAGCTAAAACCAGCACTTTGAATAGTGCTTGGTAGCATATTGGCAGCCAGTGGAGGTGACGTAACAAGGGGGATTCTATGCTCCCTGTACGGCACTAATAATTTTACCAAAATTATTACCTGGTGTTGGAATTGGAAGATCTATTTTATTGCAGAAGTCTTTATTACAGCAATGAGCCGCAGTTCTAACTCCTTCACTTGTTGAGGGGGCACAAATAAATGGCCTATCCTTAGGAATCAGGTCAACTTCTGCAATGCACATGAAGTTAGATATAGTTTTCTCTCTGTTTTGTGTTACCGAAGTAAAGCAGAGCCCATCCGTTGTGCAAGTAAAGTTATCTTGTTGACAGAGAAGGCAGTAACACTGTAAGGCTGTATAAAAGAAAATATTTTAGTGTTAGTTATGTTAAACACTGCTGACATTATGAAATTGAAGATCACACAATAGGACATGAGTCTGAAGAGGGCGATGATATCCGGTGCTGTTGCATGTGTAATAACCTGTATTTTGGTGTAATATCTACTTATCATACTGAAGTACATGTGGAAACATACTGACTACTGACAGTGACCAGAAACTCCACATGAAACAATTACGTTTTAAAACAGTTCTGTCCATCTAACAGTAATTTTTTTTGTCGTGTCAGGAGCGACCTGAGAAACTGCAAGTCGCTTCTGGTGTGAGAGAATTGGCTGTCTGCAAGGACATTGCCCAGGGGACGCCTGGATGATTTGATGTTTTATCATCCTTGTGGGAGGCTTCTCTCATGTCCCCGCATGAGGAGCTGGAACTGATGGAGGGAACTCATCCGCCTCTCCCCAGATTTGAACCTACCGGCACAGGGGTTTAACCCACTGCGCCACCGGGGGCTCCATCTAACAGTAATGTAGAAATGGGACCGGGGGGGGAGCACTTCAGACATAATTAAAAACACTTTAGGTGAATTCTGGAAAACAACTAACAATGGCACAAATGTTCAAAGGAGACTGGGATCATCGAATCACAGAGCTGAAAGAGACCACAAGGGCCATTTAGTCTAATATAGGTTCTCTCCATGTCAAATGGTAAGGTTGCTTCTGAACCTGTCAGGCTCTTCTCTTGGTGACCCAACAACTGAGGCAAGCTGGGTAGCCAGATGAGAGGCAGACATTTCACTAGTGAAATCCCCTCACCGACTGCCTCCATGAAATGCGTTTCCCAGAGTGGTTCACCAGACACCTAAATTGTAATATTTTCAACTTCAAGTGAAGCAATGGATTTTGTTTTGTTTTTCTTTTTAGTATTTTACAAGTTACCAGCAGGCTGTCTTATATCCAGTTTTATCATTGTTTATTCACTGTATTTTATAGTGAATACCCTCCTGCGCATTTTCTTTACTTTCTACCCTGGCAAAGCACAAAGGAATAGTTTGACCAGGCAAGTGCAGTATGACCCCCATACATGTGGATACAGCACCTGTGGTCTGAACTACTTAACTGGCGGTTAACATCCACACACTTTAACCAATTTAAAACAAAACAAATACAAATATTAAAAAACAATTAAGCAGTATTGTTTGTGTCATGTTAAAAATACAGTTAAAATATCATATATACAATTAAAATGCATTTAAATCAAACACACACCCAATCCCACCCCAACTTCCCCAGCGACATGCTCTTTATGTTATTAATTTACTATATTTCGCTCAGAGAACTCAACTTACGCATTAATCAAAATGCAAAACAAATAAATAATAAATAAACATGATCCAACTATTCAAAGTGAGTGTTTTGTTGATGTGTGATGTGTGAAACTAGCATGCGATTTTCTAACACAAATACAATTAACTGGTGATACACATCCTCAAAAACTTCAGATGCTGCATGTTTATGTTAATTATATTCCATAATCACTTAAGATACTGCATGTTTATGTTAATTATATTCCATAATATAAAAGTAAAAAATTCAAATATTTCCTACCTATAAATATATTCTGCATACACAGAGTAAGCAAGGAAACATTATGTGTTTGCTCATGATTCTAAGTATTTTTTATTTAACATGTTACATTTATTCCAGCACCCATAAGGTCGCAGGTTTGAATCCGGGGCGAGGCAGATGAGCTCCCTCTATCAGCTCCAGCTCTTCATGCGGGGACATGAGAGAAGCCTCCCACAAGGATGATAAAACATCAAATCATCCAGATGTCCCCTGGGCAATGTCCTTGCAGACGGCTAATTCTCTCACACCAGAAGCGACTTGCAGTTTCTCAGGTCACTCTGACACAACAACCCCCCCCCCCAAACCCATAAGAATATAATTGATGAACATGACATTTTTTCATTACTATGCCCTTTCTCACTAGAATTACTCTGGTTTTAATGCCAAAATAGACTATTTGGCATTAAAACCAGTCCAGCTACCAGTCCAGCTATCTCCAAATCCTAAAAACATTTCCTCAGGAGAAATATTTGTGGAAAATCTATTTAGTAACATTTTTAACCAATTCATTAATTCTGGGAAATCAAAATAAAATTACAATGCACCAAGGCCAAAAGTGCATAGGAACTTCTAATCAAGTAGCCTGATGAAGCAATTCAAATGAGGTTGTAAGATTGTAAATTCAGTGTACAATCTCATAAAAGCTGAATATATTTACAAATTTATTTATTTATCGTGTCAGGAGCAAACCAAACAATTGTATTGTATTTTTTAAAAGCCTCACAAAGTTTGTAAACTTGTCATTATATTAAATGTCCTTTGACCAGTAGCTGGCCACTCGGAATGCCTCTGATGTTGCTATAAGAAAGTCCTCCATTGTGCATGTGGTAGGGTTCAGATTGCATTGTAGTAGGTGGTCTGTGGTTTGCTCTTCTCCAAATTTACAAATTGAACTTACTTTTATAATTTTTTTCGCTTCATAATGTCAAACGGGCATAACATACACATTACCATAAAAAAGAACTGAGGAAAGAAAACCAAGACCCAGACTGTAATTATGTGATACTGGATACAGTTTTATATGAAATTCTTTCTTGTACTTATACAGACTTGAGAAATGATTTGGAGCATCTTAAAATATATTTTATTCATCAATCCAAAATAAATTATTTGAGAATCTTTTTTTCCCTGGAATTACGGGGGAAATACTCTGGAAAACCCAGGAAAAACACATTGCCCCAAATGTTTTTGTTTTTCTGTTTTACCACTAGTTTGTGTGAGTGTGTGTGTGCTTTTTCAAAGCCCCCTGCTAATTTTGTTGTCTGAAGTTACTGCTGTAAATCCTACCTGAGTTTATCCCCAAACAGTAAATGGGATAACACACAAAATTTACCCTGCCACTCAGTGGTGATCTGAGAAACCTTGCTCTTTTTAAAACAGTTTTTGATCATTTCTATCTAATGTGCAAAACTGAAAAATGCAGGAAGTTGCTATCTAACAAGACTTGTGGTACAGAAGGGGTGTTTGTGCCTTTGTGATCAGTCTGCATGTTGTTTTGTGATTACTTAAGTTTATACAGATACTTAAGTTTTATAAAACCAAGAATAAGTAATAAGGAATTATATATGTCAAACAAAGAAATAGGATGAGGGATACCAAAATTATAAGAATATTATGAAGCATTTCAATTGAAGGCAATTTTGGAACTAGAAGAAAAAAATCAAGTTAAATGGATAAGAATAGAAAATGAAGTAAACAGAGGTCAAGGTGAATATGGAATCTTCATACAAAAACTAAAAGAGGTGGTAGGGAAAACAATAGGTCCAAGGAAAATAGCTTTAAAAATATGGAAGAAATGAAAAAAAATGGATGCCACTTTTCTCAAAGGAAGCCCCAATAGGGAGTTTGAGGAACAAAGAGGATAAGAGCGTTATAAAGAAACTGAAACAGTTGGGATATTATAAAATAAAGGATTTATATAATGAAAAAGATGTACCAATGGAAAGGAGTCAGCTAGAAAATTTAGGGAAAGAAAGGTTTAGGCTAATATTAATATTAAGAGGCATTTAGGAACAAATAAAAAAGGAAGAAAGTACCGTATATTCCGGCATATAAGACGACTGGGCGTATAAGACGACCCCCAACTTTTCCAGTTAAAATATAGAGTTAAGACAACTCCCATGCATAAGACTACACCCGCGTATAAGACGACCCCTGACTTTTGAGAAGATTTTCTTGGGTTAAAAAGTCTTATACGCCAGAATATACTGTAATATGGGCGAAAATATAATAGATAGAATATTGAAAGAAAGGTCCAGAGAAAAGCAATAAGGGTTAGGTAAAATAAATGGAAGAATGTTAGAAGACAGGGAATTTATGTATAAAAGGATGGGAAATAGATGGGAAAAGGAAGGAGGCATAGGGAAAGAAAAAATAGATAGAATAAGGAATGGATTAAATAAAATAAAGATAGAAAAATATAGGGATCTGGAGCAGAAAGTAATAACAAAATGGTATAGGACACCAATTCAATTGGCACATATGATCCAGGGTCTAAATCCAAAATGTTGGCACTGTAGGAGTAGAGAAGCCTGGTACTCACATCTACGTTGGGAATGTAAGGAGACATGAATCAAATCTTCATGAAAATTGAATTATATACAAAAATAAAAAATGACTTAAATATTGAGATTCTCTTAAAAGGGATTTATGGGGACAGTAAAATAAAAGCACATGAACAAAAATTAGTTATGATGATCTTTAGAGCAGCACATGCTGTGATTACTTGGGGGTGGAAAGAAAAAAAAAAGAAATGGACCCTGGGAAAATGGTATGAATATGTGTGGGAACAAGTACAATTGGAAATTATGGACATTATAAGAAATGAAAAACTATGGATAGAAAAGCAGAAGGAAATCAAAGAAATATGGTCACCCTTTAAAAATTGGATACAAGAAGCTAAACCAGAAGACGACAATCATTGGAAAAAAAACCTAGATAGAATGCAACGATGGCTCGAATAAATGAAGAAGGACCAACTTGTCAACAGGGGGAGGGGAGAAGGTTAAGGGGTGGAAAGAAAAAATGTATTGAAACTAAAGCAATGTAAAGTAAAGATAAATGTATTACAAATAGTTGTTAACAATACAATAAAGAAAATTTTTAAAAAAGAAGCTGAGCAGCATAGAGTACTGCTAGTATAGCCAGACTAGACAGAGAATTATGATAATGTGATGCTTCATTCAAATAATAATAACACTCAGTATCTGCATAGTGATATTTCCAGTGAAACTGAGAATGATGATCTCAGTTCATATGATTCCAGTTCATAAGGCAAAGGTGACTAATAACACCCCTGCCTTCTGGAAGCCTAGAAAGGAGAGGGCATCAGAGGTCATGTCCCTCTGGGAGGGGTTGAGTATGTACTGGGGGGCAAGAGTTTACACAACTTCCACATATGGAGGAACCTGCCATCAATACTGAGTATCTTTCCATAGTTTCCCCTTCTGAGACAAAACCAAGAGAAAAGCATGAGACAAAAATAGAGCTGAAGACATTAAATAGTCTGGAATCAGTGTGAGACTTGCATAAACCAGTTGAGACACGTCTCAGAATAATAGGAGCTTCTACTGAATCCAAAGATCAACTTCATAAGACTTTTGTGGAGTGAGAAGCATGGGTCTTGTGTTTTGCAGAAATTGGTTATTTGTAGTGCTTGTTCTTAAATTTCTTCTTAGCTCGCTTAACCTATGTTCTAATAACTTTAGTAGTAAGGAGCCTGTTTGTTCAAGGACAAACAGATACCCACTCACAACAATATATGCCTCTCCAGACAGATTACTCTTGGAAATAGTGATTTAATCAGAGACACTAGGTATGTTGTGGGTGTATAAAGCACATAGTGATTAAGTTGCCTGTTGTAAAGGTTGCACATGTCGCATACTTCCTAGGCACCCTGGTATACAGTGCTTTGGGATGCAAACACAAAGTTGTGCAATAAAATAATGGACTTGAATTGTTATGTCATTTTTATTTAGAGTTCCAATTTGAAGTTCAGCTCATAAAGGGAAACTCTTGAATACTTTCATATTAGATATTTTGTAGACATATTATGTATTTGCCATGTCACTGAATAATAAATCACAGATTAATAAGAGTTGGAAGAGACAACAATATCCATCCACAATCAAAGAAAAAAGTTATTTCAAAATGGTTGTCCAGCATTCCCAACAAATAAAACTCAGGTCTCATCTTAAATTTAAACTTAAAAATATCTTCCAGAAACAGTTGTATTTGAGTCCAATATTTTTCTGCCTTTCTGAAGGCCTATTATATATGGTAAGATGTCCCCACACTGTGCTAGACTTTTAAAGGTTATTTAACAATATCACCCTGCCATAATAATGATACAAGAGACCCACCAGCCAATGGTTGCTCTACAAACTACACTAAAAGAATTTCAAGAAGACAATAACAAATAAAGCACAATAAACCAGATAGTTTATGTTAATGATTTCCAGTCTCCAACAATTAATCCAACAACTTTCATGGGATACACTATATCCATCAAGCTTTTATTATCTCAACACAATCAATACAGAACCTTCAAAACACTGGAAATGTGGACTACTAACAAACTTTAAAACATCCATTCATTTTGGTTGAATACCACTAATTAAAATGTTTTATCCATTTTTTTACTTATTCCAAACCTTTGCCATATCCATTGATGCACCATGATTTATTATGCGGCAGCTAACTCTGGATTCTAGTTTTCTAGAACAATTATGAACTCTATTCACATCCAGTAAAGATGGTCTATTGCAGGCCTGCGCAACCTGTAGCCTTCCAGCTGTTTTGCCCTCCAACTCCCAGAATTCCTGGTCATTGGACAAGCTGGCTAGGGCTTCTGTGAACTGGAGGACAAAATAGCTGGAGGGCTGCAGGTTGTGCATTCTTCAGTCTATGCCTATTCAAAGATTTTCATCTCAAGCAGGTAACTAACAGAAATCATGGGAATGACTCTATTTAATGGATTACCATGCAGAGAGAGACCTCATTGTACACCATTCCACATCTTCCTTCACTGGTTGAATATTAACTTATTTCCAGTCATTTGTAAATGCCACATACAAAGAATGGAATCATTGGGAGGAGAAATTAGATTCATCTCTTACCCGTCCACTCAATTTTTCAGTACCAATGTTTCTCTGAGAGGAATGGGTTGCCAGAAACATGGAAATACCATGACTCCATTACATGTAGGACCTATTATACCATGGTACCCCAGCTACCCAACTAACATAATATGTTCAGTAACACAAATACACAATGGCTCCATGAACTCCAAATATGCTCTTTTGGAATACAGGCATTTAAAACAGAGTCTGCCTAGCAGTCTGTCCATTTTGAAAACCTCTATATTATCCCAACAGACAGGCATCAAAATTTTATAAACCTTTATTGAACACTAATATATACCAGTAGCAAGTCTTAGATTGTCATAGGGAGCAAGTTTTAAGACCATTATGAAAGATTCAGATTGGAAAGAAATATTGGTCACGCTTCTCATATAATTCATCTCATCACAAATTAAAGAAACAATGTCAACATTGTGTATAGATACAACTGGATATCAGACAGACCACACAAAATAACAATTTCTGTCCCTAAATGTTGGCAAGAATGTGCATGTGGATCATCCTACATCTATGGGTAAAGTGAGGTTGGGATGGGGGGGGGGGGGTTTGGTAACAAGGGCACAGGTCCCAAGATCAATTCTCTCTCCCCCAATAAAAATCAAATCAATGACAACACCACCACTCATTTTCTACTGAAAGAACACGAAAGGCAGCCGAATATCTATTACATTTTCAGATAATAGAGATAAAACATTCATTTAAATATTTATAAACTATTTTATCAAATCACTTCTGTGTATGTAGAATGTAATGATGTTTGAAAATCTCCCACAGCAGAATGACTGCTCACTCCCCTTCTGAAAAGTCAAGACAAGCCAGTGCCTCCCACTGCAAACATCAATCCTGGTTCTACAGTAGACAAGGAATGATGACTGCTATCTCCAAGATACCATTGACAGAAGCCTACAATTTGTTCTAGAACTGTAGTTGTTGGGTGCAATCAGAAAGTCAAAACAAACTTCTACCTTCCCTTTCTGAGTCTGAGCCTGACAGGAAAAGCAGATTATTATATCAATGTTTCTGCTGTTACAGCAGCCATAATTAGCTTTGTTGCAAAGGCAGGATCATTCTTTCATGAGAAACAGAGTTTTTCAAAGCTTTCTAAATGTAAATCTGTTTTCTTTTTTTTATTGTACAATCCAAGTATCTCCAAAGGAGCAACTTATTTTTGAAAAACCCGATTCACAAACAGTTTAGGAATAACCTAATAGGAAATCCTCTGGATGCAAGCCCTCCAGTTACAGTTAAATTTAATCCATGTCTACCGAAGCGGTCGGGCTTCAACTCATGACACAGTTTTTGTACAATTACATTCTGGGATAACAGAGTCACCGAAGAGATAGACTTTACTGGGCTTCGTTCTAATAATCTTCACTGAAATCCAAAGAGCTTACGCCTGAGCACTGTTATTCATCTACCAGATAGATGATAGAGTGTTCTGAACTTACTGTAAATAAGTGATCTAATTAATTACTAACTTAATCAGTTCAAAATATGAATATTTATACTACTCTCATTTTTTATCTCACAAAAATATTCCACATTTGTTTGTCCCCAAACCATCAGGCCTTGCTCCAAGGCACCAGTTACAAGAGTTTCACTTTTGTTACATTGTTGCTATAAGGGTGGGCCTGTGCTTAAGACAGACTAATGCAGAAAAAATCAATGCTGGAAAACAAGAATGAAAACCGTATTTCTCAGTAAACAAGTTTTTTTTTTTAATTTCCACACTAAATGTCAAAAAAGGCATTTTGATTTTTTAATATCTCTTTTGGGCTCTAAGTGCCCTTAGCAGCCTGCAAATGTGCAGGAAATACACTCCATACCTCCAGTGTACATTTTGGAGCCTCTGGGGATATTTTTTTTAAATTAAAAAAATGTTATTGGCACCTGGGGCCCAAACACAGTAGAAATGACCTCTATATAGCCACTAGAGCTCATATGTGGGCTTCCTGGAGCAAACAAGAGAAAAACCTGCAGGTTTGATTTGTTGGGGCTCTGGGGGCAGAGATACAACCTAGGGGAGTCACATGTAGCCTTCACTCTGCACTTTACCTTACGAATAAGAGGACAGTACTTTATATTCTGTTGAGAAACAGGCCTCTTAGAGGGAGAACCAGGCCGCTTCCCATCTGCCAATTTGACACGGAACACATTCACTATAGCAATACATTCAGTACATAGGAGTCGAGTTGGGAGACTAGAGCACCAGCAATTGATCATAGAGGTTGCCTCCAAAAGTCACACATGGACCACAGATCATGTATTACCCATCCTGAAACATCAAGGCTGCATATCACCCTTTCTCAAACCTTGTCTAGCATTTCAGAGTGCAGGTAAATATTCTGGCAGCCATCAATTTTTGATTGTCCATTTAGACCAGGGGTCCTCAAACTAAGGCTCGAGGGCCGGATACGGCCCTCCAAGGTCATTTACCTGGCTGAGGATTGTTGTTGTTGTTGTGTGCTTTCAAGTCGTTTCACACTTAGGTTGACCCTGAGTGAGGGCCAGGTAAATGACCTTGGAGGGCCGTATCCAGCCCTCGGGCCTTAGTTTGAGGACCCCTGCCTTAGAAGAACTCTGGACATTCTAATATGGAAAACATAGAAAGAAGAGACTCCATGTACAAAGAGAAGAAGAATTACAAACAGGGAATGGCTAGAATAGCAGAAAACAGGCTTTGACCTGCTGAACAGAATACTGGAAGGAAAACAAAGTGTTTCTACGCATACACTGTCAAAGAGTGCTGGTGTCTCACCAAACTACAAATCCCAGGATTCCATAGCATTAAGCCATGGCAGCTTACAGTGGTGTCAAACTGCACTAATTTTACAGTAGAGATGCACCCTGAATTTCAGTAGTAATGTTTACCATTCAATCATTAGGGATGAATATAAGGTGCATTGAGAGAATAAATTAACTGCTTTGATGGTAACTGTTCAAAACACACTGTCCAAAATTCTGTTGGGAACATGCAGCACTGATAAAGTAGGCATTATCTGTCTATGGATTTGATTGCCCCAAATCAACCTTAGAAGCCAGACAGCCATACCAACCCCAAGGTGTTTTGTGACATTGACAAGCAAGACCTATCCAGACTCCTCTTGTCATTCAGGGGCAATGGAACAAGCTAAAAGAGGACTAGAATAGTCATCATTGAACATTTTCCTTGCCAGCACCTAAGAATTCATTTGGTGTGACTGATTTCTAAGGTGGATTTGGGGCAGTTAAACAGTTAGGATGTCATAATGCTATCCATTATAAAGATTTCTCATGACAATATTATTTCATGTTACGTTCAATGGCAAAATTATGTGGAATTCTGGGATTTGTAGTTTAATAAGGTCTAAGACCTCTCTGGCTGATAATTCTGATTCCCCCCCCCCCCATGGCAAATCCCAGCAT